TCGTCATCTCAATGAACTACACCGTCTTTCAGCTTTCCAGCAGGTGACCACCAAAGTACCTCCATCTTACGATGGTAGAAGCAGTTGGTTTGCCTATGAAGATGCGATCGATGACTGGTGTGACATTACTGAGCTAGACAATGATAAGCGTGGACCAGCTTTGAGAAATCGGCTAGAAGGTGAAGCAGCAATCCACAAGAGGCTTCTCGACAGAGATCGCCTGAAGGACCCGAACAACGGAGTGAAGTACTTCAAGAGTTTCCTGCGGCCGCTTTTCGTGAAGGGAGCAGCGAATGTTTTCCTCTATCGCTTCCAGCAGTTCATGAACATGCACCGTGGGAATGGAGACATGCTTCGTTGGATTACCAGGTTTCAACTCTCTGTTCAGAGAATGCAAGAAGCGTGGAACGATACCTATCTGCCGATCGAGGACCCGAACAATGCAGAGGTCAGAGCTTTCATAGCAGGACTTCCACCAGAAGAACAAGAAGGAATCACGCCAGTTCAGGCAATGGAGAGAGCCAACGAACGGCTCAGAGAGCAGCATGCTCGGACCATTCCGATCACGGCCAATCTCGTTGCTTTGATTTTTGTCTCTCTGTCCGACTTGACGCAGGATCAGCGGCAGGTGTTGACATCATTGATGGCGCATCGGAACCGAGTTTTAGCTGACTACAATACGACCGAACTGCGTGAGGTCTACCTTGAGATCTTCTGCACGACCAAGACTACCGTCGACAATCCTCTCCTCGTTCCTTCCGGCCACGGTGGCCGCAAGACGTTCCTTGTGATCGACGAAGGATATTTGAACGATCATGAAGGCTACTGGGTCGAGGACGAGGAAGATGGCACAGAGGGTTTCCTCGAAGCGGATGAGGACGCCTTTTGGGTCTACGACGACGAGAACTACTCATGGTTCCAGCGGCGTTTCCAAGGCCGCAAGATGAGGCGCGGATTCAAGGGCCACCGCAAAGGCAAAGGAAAAGGTGGCAAAGGATCCAAAGGAAGGCGCTTCTTCAAAAGGAAGAAAGGCAGGTCACATCTTGCCGAAGAATCAGAAGCATGGCAAGCAGAAGGACAATGGCAAGATTACCAGTGGAACGATCAGTCCTGGGATGACTGGTCCTGGTACGAGTCTGAGGAATCCTATGCAGCCAAAGGAAAAGGAAAGAAAGGAAAGAAGGGCAAAGGAAAGAGCAAGTTTGGCAAGGATGGAAAAGATGGAAAGTCCGGAAAAGACGGACAGGCCCAGCTTGCTGATGCTGCCCAGAGCGGCATCACAGCCGCCACAACCTTCTTCGTTGAGCATTTTGACTCTCCGAACCTTTCTTTCATGGCCACCGAAGAGAAGATCAATGAGATCGAAGAAGCCTTCATCTCTCAGCCCTTGACGCCGACCGCGATGGTGTTGGACTTGGGATGCACGAGAGCAATGGCTTCAAGAGTGGCCGCACAGGACCTCATGGAGTTCTGTGACACGAATAAGAACTGTGGCATTTGGTATACGATAGCTGAGACCACTTCTCAGTTCACCTTTGCCAATTCCGAGTCGACCAAGTGCAACCAGAAGTTGGTCATTTGCATGTACGACCGGGATTATGCAGTTCAATCCACAGAGTTCGACATTGTGGAACAAGGACATGTTCCCATTCTCATGTCTGTACCTCAGATGCGCAATCTTCGGTTCCAGTTCGAACTTCATCCGGAAAAAGCCCTGCTCAGCAGCCCTGTGCTGGGAATCAAGGATGTGAGTCTGAAGGTAGCACCTAGCTCACACCTGGTACTTGATCTTCTGGAACTCGGTCAGTTGATGTGGAATGTGCGTTTCAGCAAGCATAAGAAGTCGAGCTTCCTCACCTACTTCTCCCACTACGAGTACGGCTTCCATCAGAAGACCGAGGGATGCTGTTCTCATGAACAGGTACCCGACAATCTCGTGTTGGCGACTGATGATGAATGGGTGATCAACGAAGCCGACATGGAAATGATTCGCATCCACAAGAAGATGAGAAGAGTCAAGTACGAACCCAAGGCGGGTTATGTGCCAATTCCGTTGGAGTATCTGGACACCAAGCGCAAGACGATCATGGAGTTCTCCAAGGGAAAGAGCGTTACTCAAGAAGATGACTGGCGTTCTTCTGAGCCTTCTTCAACAAGGACTACTGATTCTTGGAAAGGCAAGACCATTTTCAAGATTCTGCCTGGTGGCATCGAGAGTAGAACCTCGGTGCCAGCTAAGTCCAAAGATCGAACCCGTGGGAAGGTAGGATCTCCAGAGGACATGGTTAGCGCAGGTAAGCCTGAAGACAGCTCGAAGAACACAGGAGCATCCGGAAGCTTTCCACAGGGAAAGGCACCGGCAAAGAGAAGGATTCGAGCCAAGGGAAGCTTTCCACAGGGAAAGGCACCCGAGGAACCGGCTCCTCCTCCTCTTGCTCCTGAGGATGATCCGGATCTTCAAGAGTACGAACCTTCCGAACCGGGGGATGCAGATTTGCTTCCTCCGAGTCCTCCGAAGGCCCCAGAGCCACAGTCGCTAGAACCTAGGAGGATCGCGCTTCCGTTGCCAGGCCACGAGGTCTCAAGGGCTTCTCCGCAGTATCAGCGCATGTTGGAAAAGCTGAACAATGATGTTGAGCTTTACAAGTTGCATGTGAAGCATTACCACATGAGTCCTGCTCAGTTTCGACGCAGGACCAGCATGCTTGGTCTGCCAGGAGAGATCTATGACAAGTACGACCGCATTGTCAAAGGCTGTCGTGTTTGCAGCACCTCAGTGCCTACGCCTCCGCGAGCCAGAATCGCAGGGTTAAGAGCATCATCCTTCGGTGATCTCATTTTTGTTGATCACGAAGAAATCAAGTTCGGTACTAAAGCCTACTTGGCTTTGGTCATCATTGATGGTGCTTCGAATCTCCTGTGGGCTACGGCTCTCACAAGCCTGGAAGCGCCAGAGACTCTGGGGTTTTTCGACAATGGACAGAGGAGAACAACTGCGTTCCTAAGGGAATCGTAGGAGATCAAGCTTTTTACACGCCACAGTTCATGTCTTATTACAAGTTTCATGGCATTACTCCGTATCCGTGTGGACCACGGACTCCTTGGCCTAATCGAGCTGAGACCGCAGTGCGTCTTTTAAAGCGCACGTGGGCAATCATGGCCAAGGCCTTAGCTGATGAGGGTTATGCAGAGAAGGTGACTGTTCGTCAAGCAGTCAAGAAGGTGGCTTGGGCAAGAAATTGCCAGCTTACCGTCTCAGGCTATTCTCCTTTGGAGATAGCTACAGGAAGCGGCCACCAGACTTGTTTGACGTTGAGAACAGTTCTCCTGAACAACTCTCTGCTGAACCTGCCGAGGAGGATCGAACCACTCTGGAACTCCAGAGGATTGCCATGCGGGCTCATCAAGAGGCCAGACAATCACTCGACCTTCGGAAGGACCTTGCACGAAGAGTCATGCCGTCTGATGGTCCTTATTCGAAGGGTGACCGCGTGTTCGTTTGGCATAAGGACGAGTCGAAGAAGAAGTCTGAAGGAACCTGGGTCAGAGGCATAGTTGTGTCACAGGAAGGTGCCATGGTGTTGGTTGAAGTTCATCGTGCCGTTCTTCGGGTTAATCAGTCGAAGGTCAGGCGTGATGGAGATCCGTGGCATGATGTGGCCATTCCTCTGAAGAAAGATGAGGTCCCGAGACGCTCTTCTCAGGAAGAGGCACTCGACCGCATCGGCGACGATATTCTTGATCGTGCCGGTTCTGGGTTCTGCTATGAGCATGAGATCTGTTACCACACTCTCACTTCAGGCAAGAGCGATTTCGTTGAGATCACACCTCGCCTCACCGGGCTTACTGCGTGCACAGTCCATTCTTGTCAGGATATAAAGCATGTTCTGACTACTGCCGTTGTATAGCTGTACTTGGTAGCCCCTTTGGCACGAGGTGAGCAAAATAAGTAGCCTGTGCCTGCGGTGTGTGTGGTTTGAGGGTTACCCTAAACCCTTGCATGGTAGCGGAGCCGGACGTCTGAGGGACTCCGTGCTCACCTTCTGCGGGTCGCCCCGCGAAGGTAAGGGACGCGGGTAAGCCCCGCTCCCTGGTGGTTGCGGGTCAGCCCCGCACCACACGTGACCGCGGGAAGTCCCGCGTCACAGGAACCAGCTGCGGGCCGATCCGCGCTGGTGTGGGAGCATAGTCCTCCCGAGTGCTGCTTAAGCAGCAGGTAGACCGCCAAGACGGCGGGTCGAGGTCGCGGCAAAGGAAAGCCGGTGACCAAGAAGAAGAACAAGAGGGGGAAAAGAAGTGAAGCGGCCACCTCTAGAGGCAGGACCGCGGGCAAGCCAGAAGGCTTGCAGCCGCTGAGGAGCGGCAGGAGCCACCAAGAAGCCACAGGGCAGCCGCTGATCCCTCGGGTTGGGGGTCAGCTGAGGCAAGGGGCCGAGGTCGTACTCCGAGGCGGGTGGTTCTAACTTATAGCCTGGAGGAGGCTCAGGAGCGAGACCGGATCCTCGGGACGGCCGCGGCCAAGAGCCAACCAAGGAAGCCCAGGCAGACAGAGGCTGGGTACGAGAAGATCAAGTGGAAGAAGGAGAGGCGACGAAGGAAGGAAAGGAACCGCCTCGACCTTCGATCGGTTCCTAGGGAGGCTCAGGCAAATCGGGTCCTGAGGTCGGTAGCGCCGACACGAAGCAAGCAGACTTCGGGGCGCAAGAGGGACTTAGAGGAGTTCCTGACCGAGCAATCCGCTCGCTTTGCGCAGCAGAGGTTCCGAGAGAGAGTGGAGACCCAGGAGGCCATCAGGAAGAGGCTTCCTAAGGGCAGTGTGGGCGAGGCATTGCTTAGGCAGCGGGTCGGCGAAGCTTGCAGTACGTGCAGGACCAGGCGTCGCAAGGCCGCCCCGGCTGTGCGCAATAGATGGCCCAACAGGCGGGCCAGGTTCCGCTGGAGCAGCAGCTCCAGCAGCAGTTGCAGCAAACTAACCTGATGCTGCAGCAAATGAACAACAGGCTGGTGACTCAGGAGGCCCAGCTGTTGCAGCTGCAAGCGTCAGGATTGGGGGCCCGGGGAAGGCAGAGCACCTTCGATACCGACATGCCGGGCCCAAGCCAACCACCGGCCCCAAGGGCCGGCCTGGTGGACACCAGGCAACTCGGTAAGCCTGAGGTTTTTAAAGGGTCCACAGAGGAAAGCTTCAGCGACTGGTCGTTCATCTTTGAGTCTTACCTCAGCTGCATCGACTCAAGGTACATTGACCTGCTGGAGCAAGCAAAGTTTTCCAAGAAGAGCTTCCCAAACAGGGCTCTTTCGGATGTGGACCGGGACCTCTCTTGCCAACTCTACTATATCTTAGTGATGCTCTTGCGTGGAAGGCCGCTTGACATTACTTATAACACGGGCCTCGGAGAAGGTCTTGAGTCCTACCGGCGCATCTTCGAGGAGTTCCACCCGAGGGTTGCGTCACGCTATGTGGGCACCCTCACAACGTTGCTTTCAAGCAAGTTTGGTGATGATGTTGAGGGGGACTTAGCGGCTTTCGAAAAGAGCGTTCGGAGGTATGAACAGGAGAGCGGCAAAACACTGGATGAGGAGATGCTTTTGGGCATTGTGGTGAATGGGCTAAAGGACAGCAGCCTGCAAAGCCACATCATCCGGAACTCAAGCCGGCTCAAATCCTTTACGGATGTGAAGGCGGAACTTTTGGAGATTTCGAGGACCAATCGCGTCCTGCAGAATCTCCCGCAGCCTATGGACCTTGGAGCTGCACCGTGGAATAAGGGCAAAGAGAAGGGCAAGGGCAAAGACAAAGGCAAAGGCAAAGGCGACAAAGGGGGTAAAGGCCAAGGCTCAGACAAGCAAAAGCCCCAAGGCGCAAACCCCAACAAGGACCGTGAGTGTTGGTACTGCCATAAGAAAGGCCATGTAGAAGCCGAGTGTCGCAAGAAACAAGCCGATGCCAAAGCCAAGCCCAAAGCTAAAGCAAAAGGTGGCGGGAAGAACCGCACACCTCATGCGGCTAGCCCCGCTGAGGGCGAGGAAGAACCGGAGCCCATGTCTGCATCGCCTCAGGAGCCGGACCTTTGCTTTGGTGGATGGTCTCCTTCCCATTCTGGTGATCGTGGACGAAAAGTCCGGTTGTGTTTTCTCTGGTGTGGTGGCTAAGGGCGTTAACCCGTATGCCACTGGATTGGTGACTGAAGCGCTCAAGTTCTGCGGGCGCCAGAAGGTCATCATGATGAGCGATGCTGAGCATAGCATCCGAGCACTTGCTGAAAGTGCCGCCAAGTCTTGGACGGGCAGCGTGCAGCACCAGACTGCACCGAAGGGTTCACATGCATCTAACGGCGCGGCCGAGCGAGCCATTTTGGAGCTGGCGCGTCAGGTGCGAACTCTTGCGAGCGCGCTGGAGGAGCGCTACAAGAAGCCCCTGGAGACTGAGGGGGTTGTCTTTCCGTGGTTGGTGCGGCACGCAGGGTGGCTCATCTCCCGTTTCTTGGTGAAGCAGGACGGGAGAACGCCTTACGAAAGGCTTCGAGGCCGGGACTTCCGTGGCGAAGTTGCTGAGTGCTGCGAGGTCGTGCACTACAAGCTTGACAAAGAGAAGACTGGCAAGCTGGACAAGCAAACGTCAGTTGGAGTTTGGCTAGGCAAGTCTCTTGCCTCCGACGAGCACTTCCTGGGCACTCCTCAGGGGATCCGTCGATGCAAAGCATCTGGCGAAGGCCAGAGGAGAAGAGGTGGGAGCTGAAACACCTCGAGGGGATGGTTGGGCTTCCCTGGCAGCCGCGCGGAGAGCCAACCACCGTGCCTTCAGACAACAAGGCCCCAGCGACTCCAGGTCGCAGGCAACCCTCGGTGTACATCACCTTGGAGCGTCAGATCAGGCACGGCAAGACACCCGGATGTCCTGGCTGTGAGTGTGACGATGACAACCCAAAGCGGCACAACGACGAGTGCCGTAAGAGGTTCGAGAAGTTGTACCCGAGACAACCGGTGCCAGGAACGCCTGGTACACCAGTGCGGGACCCATGGAGACTGAAGGAGGTCAGGCCGAGATGCCCCAGGGCACCGGCCAAGACTTGGAGTCGGGAAGCACCGAGCCGAGTCAGCCTTCAAGGCCAAGGGCCATGGAGGGGACTTCTGAGGCTAAGTCAGGCCAGAAGCGAGAGGTTGAGGATGCGGGTGTCCCCGCTCCTTCAAGTGACAGCGGGCAGCGCCGCGTTACTGGAAAGAGCTCGCAGGGAGCGAAGAAGCAGAAGACGCCAGAAGCAAGAGGTGAAAAGCGTCCTCTTGAGGACCAGGAGTTGATGGGGGGACTGCCCACGCTCCACGAGAAAGGCGAGTGGGAGCCTTTGTTTGCTTACCCTCTGGACGGCAGAGTGGAGGAGCTTGGTGCCTACGACGAGCGAACAGGCCAGCCCCTTCCCGTTGACAAGGTCAAGACTGCAAGAGGGCGCGAGCTGGACAAGATGGAGGAACACTCTGTCAAGAAGGACATCTCTTAGGAGGAGGCGCGACGGCAAGGGCTAAAGATAGTCCGAAGCCGGTGGGTGGATGGTTGGAAGCCATTGCCCAACGATCCGAATGGGGTGCGCAGTCGCTGTGTAGCCCAAGAGATCAACGACCACGAGCGCGACGACGTTTTCAGTGGAACACCGCCGTTGCGGACGCACCGCATGGTACTTTCAGCTGCAGCCACTGCGAAGCCTGGCAGGACCAACCGGCGCAAACGTATTTCCCGGTATGATGTTTCTGTTGCCTTCTTTCATGCGGTGGCCACGGGCAAAATTGCGGTCGTCCCTCCGAAAGATCTCGATCAATCGAAGCTCTGGTACTTGCTCAAAGCCATGAATGGCACACGTGAGGTTTCGCGACAGTGGTCAAAGCGCGTGTGTGAGGTCATGACGGAGGCAGGTTTCTGGGAGGTTCCAGGAATCCCTGACCTCTTCTACCACGACGAGTGGTGCGTGACTTTGAGCTGCCACGGCGACGACTTTATCGCTGAGGGCGAAAGCGACGATCTGGATCGACTGGATGCGCTGATGATGCAATCCTTTGAGAGCAAGATATTGCCACGGATTGGCCCTGAGGAGTTCGGAGGCCAAACCACGCATGGCGATCATCTGCACCGCATCATTCGATGGAGCGAGCGCGGGTTCACTTGGGAAGCTGATCCTAAGTACTCGCGGCAGATCGTTGAGGATCTCGGGCTTGCGGACGCTAAGGGCGCAGACGCCCCATGTTCTACGGAATGTGGGAAAGGCCGCAGGGATCTCGAAGATCCTTTGGACACTGAGGCTGCAGCGAAGTTCCGGAGACTCGCTGGTACTGCGCTTTACCTGTCCCAGGATCGCCCGACGATCCAGTATGCCTTGTCGGAAATCACCTCTGGCATGGCAAAGCCTACGGTTACTACGGTTGAGCACGAGCTCAAGCTCAAGCACCTAGGCCGTTACCTCTTGAAGTACCCGAAGGAAGTTTGGCACTACGAGTACCAGGAGCAGCCTGAGGAAGCTGTGGTGCTTGCGGACTCGGACTGGGGAGCGTGCAAGCGCACGCGCAAGTCTATGTCCAGCTACGCCGAGAGATTTGGGAAGCATCTCATCGATGCTTCGTGTGCCAAGCAATCGGTCATAGCGCTTAGCTCTGGAGAAGCTGAGTTCTACGCGTTGGTGCGAGGAGCTGCCGCCGGACTGCTGACAGCGCAGATCTGGGAACGAATTGGGAGCTTACCCTAAGAACCGATTCGAGCGCAGCGAAGGGAATCGCGACACGCAAAGGCTCGGGCAAGGTGAAGCACTTGTCCATGAAGGAGCTTTGGATATAGGACTGTGTTCAGAGAAAGCAGCTTACGGTGCAGAAGGAACCCACGAAAAGCAACTGGGCCGACTTGGGCACGAAAGCTCTTTCAGGCTCAAGAGTGACAGAGCTAGTCAAGGGCATGCCTCTCACAAGGGGCTTGGTCATGGCGTGCCTGTTCGAGTCCTTTGGCGTGGCTACGGGGCAGCCGAAGGAGCGCCAGCTCGAGACTGAAGACGTTTCCTTCTTCATCTACATGCTGATCATCCATATCTTGGCGATCCAGACCATTTGGCGATGGATCAAGCTTGCGTTTGTGTGGTGGACCACGCCACGTGTTTCAACGAAGCCGGCCCCTACAGCTGGAGGCCGCGTGGACCGACGAGGTCTAGAGGCGAATGCGGGTAGCCCCGTCTACGTCACCCGTAAGGGCAAGAAGTTTCATAGGAGACACTGTAGACACTTGGGCCAAAACCCGTACACGTTGCAGAGGGCTGAGGCTACGCAAAGAGGCTTTGGTCCTTGTACAGACTGCAACCCGTGAGTAGTGCAGGTCAGCTGTCCAGCTCAAGGATTCAGCTGGCCATGGAGGGGTGTCAGGATATAAAGCATGTTCTGACTACTGCCGTTGTATAGCTGTACTTGGTAGCCCTTTTGGCACGAGGTGAGCAAAATAAGTAGCCTGTGCCTGCGGTGTGTGTGGTTTGAGGGTTACCCTAAACCCTTGCAATTCTGGACTTGATGCGAGTGAACCTGTGTTGTTTGGTAAATGGAACGCCAAGTCTATCCAATCTTCGATTGAGGCTGCTTGGCAAGTGATCTTGAAGGCAGAGCCTAATCACATTTTTATTCATCCTGTCATTCCTGACGGTTGGCCCAGGAAGGCCGCCAATGCCTTCTGGCACTTTTGTGCCGAAGTCTGCCGTTGGCAAGATGACAAGGGTGATGGATACTTCGTGACCATCATGTATCCTTCTCATTGTGGTTTTTGGCTTTCGCAGAGTAGTCGCTCGCTGAAGTGGAGAAGAGGACTTTCATTCCACACCTTCAAGAACCGTGGTGTACTTCCTTCAGGGGGAGATGACCACGGTAAGCATCAGCATGGTGAGCTTTCTTTTCTCACTAATTTGCCTGATGGATCATTTGGCCGTTTGGAGTCGTTGGAAGAAGGCTATGACTCTGCTAACGCACTTGATCCAAGGTTTGCTGTGCTGCTTTCGCAGTGTCTTGTGGGTGATGAACGATCAGATCTCCGACAATCTTACTTGTTCGAAGATATCTTTGAGGATTTCGATGATGGAACACTGTGTGCGTTGTGTTTGCGATCAGACCGCAATTCAGAGGCTTTACCGGTTCTTCCGTCAGAAGCAGAGTACTCATTACTCTCAAACAATGACAAAGGGAAGCTTCCGACACCTCTGAGGTTTGTTGCGCCGCAGCGTTTTGTTACATCGTCTTTGGTCCAGACTCTGTCATATGTTGACAGTCTCCTTCCAGGTACTGAGTTGGAAGTTCACACGACCACATCGTCTGACGCGGTCGCCTTGCGGCCGATGATTAAGAATGTGCGCGTGCTAACTCTGCCGTATCTGGAGTTTGAGTACTGTAACGTCTACAGGGGGACTCAAGGGAAAACACTCCCTTTGGTTCATCGTCATCCTGATGCTGTTGTCATTTTGTGGCAGAAGGGTGATATGGACCATGTGTTTTTCGTGACGATGGCACAGTTGCTTCCTTGCCTTAAGGATATGCAATCAACGCACTGGTCCATGATAGTGTTCTGGAACGAGTCCCAGAACAACAGTTCCAGACGCGGGCCTGATGTTGGTTTGGACTTCACGGACCAGCCAGCGCCAGCCCCGGTTGCACCGCAACCGCCAGCCACGGACGACGATGTGGACTATCCAGGATATGATGATCCACACGGTGATATGCCTGTGGATGATGAGGAAATGCCACTACAGCATCCGGAGCAGGATTTGGATGATAATCCTGTTGAGTTGCATGTCGGTGGTGACCCTCCGTCACAACCTCCTGGAGGCGGTACTCATGTACCGGTACCAGGGGGAGATGATGATTCCGACCTGGATCACGATCCGGACGGTGGTGGACATCCGCCAGGAGGCGGTCCTCAGGGACCGGGACCTGGTTATGGTCCTTCACCGGAAGAGCCTCCTCTTCCGATGGAGTTTCACGAGGAGTCGCCTCCTCCGGGAGGTCCTCCCGACTCTCCTGGGGCTCCGCCGCAGTTTGCGAACCCGGATCAGGTTCTTAGTCCACCGATGCCGTGGCCGGCACCACCTTCACCTATTGTTCCTGTTCCAATTCCGTCGCATCCTCACTTTCCGGTGCCACAGAGTATGAGACCGCCGTCTCCTCGAAAATGTGTCACAAACACGTGCAAGAGGCGCACATCCTGACGATGTGTCCAAGGCAAAGTCACGTACTGTTGTGGGACCTCCGGTTGTGCTGTTGCCTGGGCAATCTGCGGGAAAGAAGGATCCCGATCCGTCGGGTGACTTTCCAGGCTTTCACGAGCCTGCTTCCTCTTCTTCTGATCCGGCTCCTGGTCCTGGTTTGCCGGTGACTGAGGGGGAATTTCCTATCCAGCAAGCCCCACTCCCGGAACCCACCCCGGAACCGCCGGTGCCGGAAGCTGGTGAGGACACTGATTCGGATGCCACGGTTGACTATCGTGATGAGAGTTTGCTTGCCTTGGCTATTGGCGACGACGACGTTTTGATTCGCCTTCCTCAAAGTTCCGTCCTTTGTTCCGTTGGATGGTGATGGTTTTGCGTCGTGGTTGACTAAACAAGATGAAATCAAGGCGGGTACCCTCACGCCGGAGATGCAGCGCAAGTATGCTGCCGAAATTCGGAAGGCTAAACTTGAGGAGTTCAAGAGTTACTTGGACAATGATGCAATTCGGCTGACGGACCGTCGCAAGCTTAAAAACGATGTCAGTTTTCTTACCGGCCGTTGGGTCCTTACTGTGAAGGTTGACAAGAACGGTTACTTTTCCAAGTTCAAAGCCCGATGGGTTTGTCGTGGGTTTCAGGACAAGTTTGCCTGGGATCAACAAACGGACAGCCCTACGGCTACTCGGTATGGTTTCCGTTTGGTTGCGCAGTGCGCTGCCAATCACTATTGGGATCTTTTTCATTTGGATCTTAAGACCGCTTTCCTTCAGGGGGAACACTACAATCTGTCATCTCGCATGGTTGTGGTTCAGTTGCCTCCTGACATCGGTTTGCCTACCTGGATGGTTGGCCTTTGTCTCAGACCGGTCTATGGTCTGAACGATGCACCGAGAAGATGGTGGAATCGTTTGGACAAATTCCTCAGGTCTGTAGGCATGGAACCGACCAGAGCTGACCGATGCACTTATGTCGCATACGACGGCATAGAAGGCAAGAAGGGCAAGAGCCACCTTGCGGCAGGAAGCTCCTCTCAGGAGGAGGAACCTGAAGCAGGAAGCACCTCTCTTGAGGTGGAACCTGCCTACCTCAAGGAGGTTGCCCTTCATGCCATGACATGCTACGCATACGATGAAGGAAACCGTTCTTCCTCCGACCGTGCGGAGGAGAGATCCTATCTTTCATGTCCCGATATCGCTCAGTGCTTTAACACCGATACCAAGAAGATGGTTGACTATGCTTGGAGACCTGTGACTGATGATAAGCTTCTCGGATTCTTGGGCAGTGTTGCTTGTAAGAAAAGAGGTTGGTTCCCTTATGAGAACGGGCATGCTCTCGTTTCTCACCGGGCCAAGGCTCTTCGTACTCCTGCACCTGTCTATCAGGTCAAGGACTACCCTTATCGAGTTTCCATGATCTCCGTAAAGGAACATGGTGGATTGTCGAAAGGGCCCATGACCTGAGGTTGGACAAGGGCGATAAGACCTGCTTCCTTGAAGAAGAAGCTGAGGTCCTCGTCTCCTTGTTCCTTCCAGAGAAGGCTTCATACAAGGTCGAGAGCTTATCTGAGCTCTCCCCGAGTTGGTTGATCAGCTTCTTGAACACTTTGTTGACCCTGTGCATGGAAGTCCCAGCAAAGGTCGCAGGACAGTTGGAGTGATGAGTCTTCATGTTGATGATCTCATCATAAGTGGAACCCCTGAGTTCCTCACTTGGTTCCTCAAGAAAATCAAGGAACACTTCACTGTCGGCCATGAGGACAAGAATGACCTTACGTTCACGGGACAGCGTGTTCGTTGGGTTCTTGATGCACAAGGGAAGAAGAAATACATATCGATCGATCAAAAGCTGTGCGTTTCAGAGCTCGAGGAGATCGTCATACCTAAGCATCTTAAGGATGCAGACGCGTGTGACAAAGCTCTCCACACCTCTTATCGCTCTTTGCTTGGTAGCATCAACTGGCTTCAGTCGAGGACGCAATTTCAGGCATGTTACCAGTTCTCTCGTTTGGCATCAGCATCTGCTGCTCCGACCGTCGGTCACTGCAAGGAGTTGAACAAGTTGTGTCGACAGATACGCAGTGAAGAGGTTGAGTTGCGGGTGTGGCCAGTGAAGGGATCTCCGAGGATTCTCGGAATTCCTGACGCAGCTTTCCGTAACAACAGCGACAAGTCCTCACAGAGGGCGATGACTATCTTCATCGCAGATGAAAGGGTCAAGAATCGAAGAGACACCAGAGGCTCATTGGTCTTCTTCGAATCAACCAAGATTAAGAGAACGACGCTCAGTACCACTGTCGCTGAACTTTACGCTTTGATGAAGTGTTTTGGTACCTGTCAAATGCTTCGTGGTTTGTGGAAGGATATTAGTGGTCTGGACGCCGAGATTCACATTCGCACCGATGCTAACAATCTCGTGTCTACCGCTTCTACTACTCACTCACCCGAACAACAGGAAACCATTCACATGATTCAAATGCTGAGAAAGGAAGCGTGTTCAGGTGCTATTGCTGATCTTTCTCA